TTTACCTTAGCGACCAAGGACGTTGGGCGGAGGCCCTGAATTTGGCAACAGCGGAGGGTTCGAGTAGAGAGAAATTCACAATGCCATTAATAAATAGATATTTAGAAAGTTTGAATTTGAATCCAGTCGATAAGGATAGTCTGACTGCAGCGGTAAATTGCTGTATAAAATTAGGCAAGATGTAAGTAAAAATAAAATGTGTCACTTTTTGTACAATGCTCCTAAAATGCCTAAAAAGTAATTAAGAGGTGTGGCTAGACAAACCGGACTGATCGTTCTTCAGACAAACAGTGAGGTCATCAAGGTTAAATGGAACACGAGTGTGTCATGTGACATTTCTCTCTTTTGTTATCATAATAAAGGTTGCACTCTACTTAATTGAGCCGCGGTCTTCTATCGAAGTGGACCTTGCATTGTGTCCTGCCGAAAATATGTTTACGTGTTCAAGGAGAACAACGGGTCAATCTAAAACTGCTTGTGAAACGACAAAGAAACGTATGTTTTATCACTCACTCAGGTTTTTGAGTGATAACGAGGGACGAGAAATAATCGAAGACGATTCGCGCTCAGGACGATCTTGCCCCTTAAAAAAGACACAAATTATATTGAAAAGATCGGTGCGTTGATCCGAAAAAACCGTCGGTAAAGAATTTGAACCGTTATTGAATCCGTAGCAATCGAAAAAGATTTTAACCAAACAAAGTCATGATTTCTTCTTTAGAATAATGCTGCGGCCAACACTGCACTGTCTGTCGAGAGGTTTTTGGTAAAATATTTAGATATTTATATTTAAAAATTCACCCTGATTACCGGATCTCGTCTCATGTAACTTTTTTATCACCCAATGTCATTCAGCGCTGAAAGTAATCAGATTTGAGGTGGTAGAGCTGTCATGAACATGCTTTCAGAAAATTAACGGCACTGCTATGGCAAATAGAAGATTTACATGGAATCGTGTAGGAATCATGGAAAGCATTAATGTAAAAATTTGTGAAAAAAAAAAACAATACACGATTTTATAGTACTAATAATTTTTTTCTAGCCACACCTTGTATATAAAAATTTACTGTTCCGTGAAAAAATCTAATTTATAAATTGTCTATATACTAATTAAATGGTATTTGTGCCTACTTATTAGAATGTCAGCAATTCTGCAGATATAGCGAATATCACTGGTACATTGCCAGTTACTTTTTCGGTTCAACCTAAATACTTTTTTTTATTTGAAATTATTTTTGAGTAAAATGTTAAAATCATTTCACCCCAATAAAATTTACTTTAAGTCAACTTTCTATACAATATAATCTAATACAACAAAGAATTTCAGCGATATTTTGTGCAACGAGCTGTACGACGCTATATCGACTGACCAAAATAAAAAGGACTGGTACTTTACTCTACTAACAGATCAGATATGTACAGGAACTCTAAACGTTCTGTCTCCACATACGGCCCAATTACTAGTCAAATATTTAGAAAATAGGGATCAGCAAGCTTTAGAAAACGTACTGTTATCATTAGATATCGCTTGCTTAGACTTGCACCAAGTATTGAAGATTTGCAAGAAATTGAAGCTTTATAACGCCTGGATACACATAACCACTGGAACTTTGAGGGATTATACCAGTCCCATGACTGAATTTCTTTGTGATTTAACCCCGGATAATCATAAGTTAGGTAAGAAAAAAATTGTTCCAAAAAGTTATTTCATGGCTTTATTGACTCTAAAATATGTTTATCTTATAGTGTTAAAAGCTTATATTTAACTCGTTTTTAGGTAATATTTTATTAGTATACGTATCATCATGTTTGGCCGGTTTGGGATATCCGACCGGCAATATACCAGAGGAAGACGTTCCTAGAGTCAAGCATGACGTTTTAAGATGCCTCGAGACGACTCATTCGATCAACAGCCAAATCGACGAACCGGCATATCCGTACTTGAGAGCACTGCTTAAATACAATACCAGAGAATGCTTGAATGTGGTTGAATTGGCATTTTCTCAACCGGAATTTTCTGGCGAAATGGGTCTCTTGCAACGGCAACGTCTAGTCCAGATTTTGTTGCAGGTTGTAAAGCCTGGAGATTTTTCTGTAAGTAATTTAATTATTTAGTTCTTAGACCAGTCATTTGTGCAACTAACCAACATTGTAATTAGGCATTCCAACGACCTGCCAAATAATAGCTGCCAGTGGGAAGGACTCGTATATCTAAGGGGGTTGTGACATAGCCTTCCATCTTGGACACTATTTTTATTAGAAATAGTAGTCGCCAAGCCTGCCTATTTATGAAAAATGTATAAGCAGTTTTTTTTAAAATCAATTATTCATGATTTCACGTGTTGTAGATAGAATACATCATATGTGCCAACCGCTTAGATATACCAACCCATCCCACCAATAGCCATTTTGTTTGGAGTGCCTAATACTGAAAACACGCGATTGTGATGTATATCGAAGTGCATTAAATGTCAACAAAATGACATTAGGTTTGTTCCAATTTGGTGTTAGGTCCTGTTCTCAACATCGTACCTACGTTGTGGTTCATGGACGATATATTGCGCAGGCTCATCTTTGAATTGGTAGATTGTCCCATGGGCGAAGTTATGCCATCAGATCTGGGGGCTAAAGCCCTAGCCCTAGTCACCTAATATAATATGAAAAGCCTTATATTTTCATTTTTTAGTATATGTATATTATTATGCGGCAAGATTTTAGTGTAATTTTTTTTATAATATTAACAGAAACAGAAATCGATTATTAAATATGCATTCGTTCAAAATTTATAAGTTTCAGAGTTTGGCAAAAGAAATTTATTGATACATTTGATAATACAAGTTTACTGAAGAAGAAGTTTCCGATTTCCTTTTTTAATAAATTCTTCCAAAACACCATCTAATTTTGCAATGCCATTTTTAATATTTGCAAGAGTTAAAAAACTGATCTTAACCCGTGGTCGACCTTTACGAATTTTTAATTATTCTGCTCATTGTTGAAAAGGACCGTTCACATGAAACAGAGGAAATTGGCAACGAAATTTGCATAAATCTATATTAACTTGGAAACGTGGCTTTTGTCACAATAGAAGTAATATTGGATACGCTAATATCTTCGCCTTCTTTTCCTATATAGCAGGGGCAGACGTTGGAAAGTCTTTTGGTAGGTAGAAAGGGGGTAAACGTTGAACCACGTCGGATTACTTCGAGAATTTCGCGGTAATGTTTATCGGCCAGTGTTGTTTCATAGAATAAGTAATTTTAAATTGTTAGCGGCGGAAACGGACAATCGTATGTATTTATGGATTATAAATAATTATTAAACAAGTATTATAATATCCCAAATCAATTCTACAAAATTTCAACAGCTATTTACAATTTATTAAACTATTTACGAAATTAACGATTAGCTTCACCGCGAAACTGTCAATTTCTGTGTATGAAGTGGGTGAACTGCGAAAAGCCTTTCCAACTTCTGCCCCTGCTACAGTTCCTTATTACGGTCATTTCAGCTTTTAAAACATTCTTATCAAAAAAGTGTCTACATAGAACTGAATAAATTCCAAACTTCCATCAAAATTCATTTGTAAAAGACTGTGTACTATATTCACTATTTGCGTGAGGTTCCCAAGGAAAACACTGTTTGTCCGGTTGATATATTTTATTGTGTATATATTTTAATACAAAGGTATAATTAGTCTGGGCACGTGCCAACCTAATTATACAAAGGTATAATTAGTCTGGGCACGTGCCAACCTACTACCATACCTGACATACTGTGCTAATTACAGCGCACACCTTTTATGACCATAATTGGCGCATGCCCATAACTTACACTGTATACGAGGTACACTCAAAACTTATGTGCATACATTACATTTCTCCCCTCCAGAATCTGGCAATAATAGCAAAATCTATCAGTGGGTATTCTAACCCGAGTACCACGTCTAATATTATCAGATTCTGTCGGAGTTCCTGGCGATAATACAATATTGGCTGAGGAAGATACATTAGGTTGTAAAGTTGTAACATCACTAATAAAATCACCATATTCTAAAATTTGATTTAGGTGACGATGCCACGTTTTCTGAAGATCAGGAATAAATACTAAATACGTTCTTGATTCAATTTTTTTTTTCAATTCTTCCTTTAATCCATTTAGATTTAACATCTCTATAATCTTTTACTAACACTACCTCTCCTTTCTTAAATAATTTTTGTCTTTTACCTGAATAATTCTTTATTTGATTTTCTATATTATTTTATGTTTGTAGGTATTAAATTTAGATTTAAATTTTCCTGATCTTCAGGTAACAACATACTTAATTTAGTTCTGAGTTTTCTACCCATCATCAGTTCGGCTGGTGATACTCCTGTTGTACAATGTGGAGTATTTCTATAGTCCATTAAAAATCTTTGTAACATTAAATCCATATCTACCTTCCCTGTATGTAAAAATTTTAATAGCGTTTTTTTTTTATTGTCAACTGAATTTTCTGCCTGCCCGTTTGTAGCTGGGTGGAAAGGAGGGCTATGTTTAAGTATAACTCCATTCTTTTTTAAAAAATCTGTAAATTCATTTGAGCTAAAATACTGAGCATTATCACTAACTATGACAAATGGAATTCCATACCGAGCAAATAGGCTTCTTAATATTTTTATCGTGCCTAAAGAAGTAGTGCCGCTTACAAAAAACGCTTCCGTCCATTTTGAAAATGCATCAGTAACCACTAAAATGAATTTATTTCTCATGGGTCCTAAATAATCTATATGTATCCGTTCCCAACACTTTTGTGGGTATTTCCAAGTTACCAGTTTAGCTTTTGGGGGGTTATTTCTAAATACTAGACAAGCTTCACAAGCTTTGACCGTTTTTTCTATATCTATATTTATTCCTGGCCACCAAACATATGACCTAGCCATACTTTTCATTTTAATCATACCCATGTGAGAACTATGAATTTCTTTTAAAATATCTTGCTGTAAACTTTTAGGTACAACAATTCTGAACCCAAACATTAAACAATCATTAACTATTGAAAATGAATTTTTATTTACCTGATATGCTTGTAATTCCGGAATTACTTTTTTAGGCCACCCGGTATATGTATATTCACAAACTTTTTGTAAAATATCATCACTTAGTGTACACTCATTAATTTTGTTACAATCTATGGGAATATTTTCATTATTTTCTATAAAATTCAATACAAATGATGAATCGTCTTCTTGTATACCAGGTGTACTAATAGGTAATCTGGACAAGCAATCTGCATAATTATCCTCTGACTTTACATATTTTATTTCATATTGAAAATTTGCTAAAATTAAAGACCAGCGTTGCAAACGATTTGCTGCGAACAAGGGTATGCCCTTTTTTGGCCCAAAAATAGCCACTAATGGTTTATTGTCAGTTAACAAAGTAAATTTCCTTGCAAATAAATATTGATAAAACTTTGTTACTCCAAATATGATAGCTAAGGCTTCCTTTTCTATCTGACTATATTTCTCTTCACTTTGTGATAATGTTCTCGAAACATAGGCTATGGGCCTTTGTATGCCCTCTATGCAATGAGAAATCACCGCACCCACCCCATAAGGAGATGCATCTACAGCCAACTGTATTGGCAATTTTGTATTATAGTGAACCAACACTTTTGCTGAAGCCAAAGTATTTTTAATATTTTGAAAAGCTTGCATACATGTTTCTTTAAACTCAAAAACTGTGTCTTTACGTAACAATTTATATAAAGGTTGTAGCAATGTTGAACTATTTGCTATAAACTTATGATAATAATTCACCAGTCCTAAAAATGCTTTCACTTCTGTGATATTTTTAGGAATGGGAGCGTTTAACACTGCTTCTACCTTGTCCTGACATGTATGTAAACCTTCTTTATCTATTTTAAACCCTAAATATGTAACGCTTTCTTTAAAAAATTCACATTTACTTTTTTTTAAAGTGAACCCTACTTCACTAAACTTTTTAAGTACCGCTTTAACCCTTTTTAAATGTTGCTTCATTGAGTTTCCCGTAATCAACACATCATCTAAAAATGACGCTACTCCATCCATACCATCTAATACTTTTGACATAATTTTTTGAAATTTGGATGGCCCTGTATGAATACCAAACGGTAATCTATTAAAATAAAATAGACCCTTAGAAGTTGTAATTGTAGTTAATAACCTGGAATTTGGATCTAATTCTACTTGCTGATATGCATGCGACAAATCTAATTTTTTGTAAAATGGGTTCCACCCTGTAATTTTGCAAACAATTCTTCAATTCTAGGTAACGGAAATTTATCTACCTCTAGATCTGGATTTAATGTTATTTTATAATCGCCACATAAGCGAACCGTGCCATTTGGCTTTAATATTGGTACCACAGGTGTACCATAGTCACTGTATTCTACTGGTGATAGAATTTTTTACTCTACCATTCTATCAATTTCAGCCTCTACTTTTTCTTTTAAAGCAAAAGGTACCATTCTAGCTTTATAAAATTTTGGTTGTGCCCCTTCTTTTAACCTTAACTGAATATAACCTCTATTGAAACAACCAAGTTTTTCACCGAACACTGTTGGAAATTCCCGAATTATTTCATCTACTTTGTTTTCTCTAAACTATTTACTGAAAGATTGAATTTATTAAAAAAATCTCGACCCAACAATGGAGGTCCACCATTATTTATAACATAAACATCCAAATAATTTTTATTGTTTTCATAAGTAATATTAATTTTTATTTTTCCTAATGGTTTCAAAGAATTTCCATCATATGTTCTTAATGTTTTATCAGTGGGCTCTAATAAATATTCCTTAAAATTAGCTGTTCTAAATCTATTTGAAATTACCGAAACGGAGGCTCCCGTGTCTAGTTCAAATTCAAAAATTTTATTATTTACAGAAATGTTTATTAAAATGGGTTCAAAAGAAAATTCGTTTATATTAAATAAATCAAAATGATCATCGTTTAGATTACATAACTCCCCATTATCATCATTTTCAGTACCTAAATAATTATTTCGATTTTTCCATCCCGATCTAGAGTTGTTTACAATATTTTTAAAACACCTTACCGCTAGATGGCCTTTGACTCCACATCTGCGACACACACAATT